CATTTATATATGTTAAAGATACCCATACCTAGTCGACAATGACGATGTGAAAAAATCACGTAGATATTTGCCACCTCAAACGGCGAAGACTCAAGTAAGGTATTACCACATACGTGTCAATTGGGTATCCTTAACCCTGACATTCGCAAAGCTTCAGTCACATAACGAAGAAAATCAATCGACGCAACGTCAGTGCGAAATCAAGCGAATACCTACTGTATGGGAAAGAACGTAGAATTTATTATCATAAACATCTATCACGGATTGCAAAAATGTATTTGAGTTCTCGCAATTCTATGTGACATAAGGACCGGAGAAACGCTTCCCACTCTAGTTACTAATTAAAGCAAACCTCATTGAAATGCCAAGTGTCCGTACTTATACTCGTCTATTCGGATCCTTTTGTGCTTCCAAATGGAGTTTATGCTATCTAAAATTGGCGTTGGTAAATAGATCGATGAACAGGATTAACTACATCTAAGCTTGAATCATCCGGTGTGTTAATATTCATGTTATTTTATAAAGTCCAGTTTTCACTGCAAGATATAGGTTGGTAATAAATTTCGAGATATAAAAATAATATTGCTCACCATACTTTGTTTGTAATGGTAACATTTTCACTACCAGCCATAAAAATATATAGCTTATAGTGAAAACAGTTCCATTACAAAATATGGTAAGCTATATATTACTAGTTGTATTCCGTAGCGATGCTTGTGTGAATTCGGATATCTATTTTTGTACCAAATTTCAATCGAAGAACCTAAGTAGTTTTTAGGTGAAAGAGTAATTAATAACTTTTTACTTATCCATCGAAATAAACTTAACTTGTCTACAACATAAACAAAAGTTAAATCTTTGGATAATGATATTCCGATATAATGTAATGCAATATACAAACTTAGGTACCAGTAGCGTCTAATTTATTCTTAAGACATTCCTTATTCAGACAAATTAGGAGAAAGTTAACTCTCGTAATTTAATAAAGGATGAAAAATGATTGGTTATTATAATTTTGTTACATTTGTTTTTTATCATTAGGTATAATTATTAACCAATAGACATGCAAAATTCCATTATTTGTTACATCTTTAGATAATATATAACTATAAAAGTAATAAATGTGATTATAATTTCTGTCCAAAGAAATACTGATTTATACAATAGAGAACAGAACCTGTTCTGTAAAGGAAAAGTGAAAGATGATATACATAAAAAGAGAATAAGACAGGAATTAGTGGAAGAAATTAAACATCTCCATCAACCCAAAAAAAAAACAAATCTATCATGAGAACAATTCAAATTATCCATGAGTGTTAAAGTTAAAGATAAGGCTTTAAAAAGATTTTCCTATTGCTTTTTCTGTCAAAGTTACTGTGCGCTACAGTCAACCCTCCTATAACGCGGTGAGTGCGTACCGCGTTGTATGATTTAACCATACAAACCAGGCTAATTCGTAGCGCGATGGAAATATGGAAACCGCGCTATAAAGACTCAGAATAAGTACAAATCACATCATTCGTACCGCGTTATATGGAGACCAATAAATACAAAAGACAAGATAAATTATAAATTATTTTTAGTATGAACTCTTCAATTCAATAAAAATAAGGAAATTATGAAAAAAATGAAACAAAAACTAAACTAAAAAACTGTTTTCCAACAAAAACAAAAGAAAGACTTTTGTAAAATGATGTAATCTTTCAACACTCATCCTCACTGTCAGATATGAGTCGCCTAACTCGCCTTCTTTTAATGGGCAAAATGTCTTCCTCACTTGGTTGATCTTCACATTGGTTTTAAGCGGCTAAGACATAAGCAGAACGTAGTTTTTCTATAGTTCACGCGACAATGTAGTCAAAAGATCACATATATATCTTTCATGTTACAGTTTCATTAGACACACACACGCATGGCACGCTGTCGATGCGAAACTATTTAGTTAATAGAAGTGGAAGATAGCGCATGAGGAGAACCACCCACCCGTGAACCACGCTGATATAAACATATCCAGTTAAAACCATTCATTGGGTGCACGGAAAGAACTGATGGGACGTTGTTGAACGGAAACCGCGCTGTAAGAGTACCGCGTTATAGGAGGGCTGTCGCAATTTCAGCTCCGCGTTATATGGAAACCGCGTTCTGAGAGTACCGCGTTATAGGAGGGTTGAATGTACTGAGTAATCGTTGATAATATGGAAATCAAATGCAATGATACTGATTTATCGTGTATTGGCATTTAAGCAAGCACGTGACTGCGAATGATATTCATCAGTAATTTCATCCACAACTGTGTTAATCTCATACAAGATAGGTAAGCAGCGGAACGAAAGTCTTATGTAGGTAATACAAAATTTCAAAAAAGCATTTGCGAAAATAATTTAAAGACTGTCAAATCAAAATACGAAATGGATTGTCAAAATATTGCATAAAACATTTGTAGAAAATCGCTGGTTTCGCCTGTCTGTTTATCTGCTTATTTCTTTTAAACAACTCAATGGACTTCGATTAATTTATCGCTATAATTTCAATATTGTTTTTCCTTGATTTTTTTATTTGAATATTTAGAGTGAACACCCGTGCGAAATGCAGGTGGGTCGCCAGTTGAATAATAAAAATTAAAGGAATGTGAGGATTTTAATGAATTAAAATTATTTAGTACTAGCACGTACTTGTATTTATTGAGTAGATTTGTTTAATTATTATAGTTAACACTTCCGGTTTTTGAGAGAAGTGGGACACAAGATAGCGGCCTATGAACAGAACAGTGACTCGGACAAAAAGGGTAAGAGCAGCTGGCGAATTGAACGGACAGAACAGGATAAGTGGTGAGCAAGTTTCTAATATTATATTATACTTTTATATTATTATTTTACTTTCATATTTCTCATATATTTATAGTTTAAGATAACTTCGGTTGGTTGGTTCGGTTGGTCGGTTTTGAATTGAAACAAATTTCAATTATTCCACAATCATATCAGTGTGAACACTCCGTTATCAAGCTAAATATGTAACTTAAATAATTACGTGGGTAATTAATTATGAATCAAAGGGTTAGCTATGAAATATGATCAATAAACGGAATTCAGATTTAAATAATCTGAATTTTTCATTAGAACAATTAAAATACGACAGCTTCTCTATAATGTTGGTAGTATCTATTTGCTTTCTGAGTTTAGTTACATTGACCCCTGTTCAGTGATGTTACTCGGCACGTGCTCGCTAACTTCTCGTAAGAAATTTTATTTATGAAATTGAATTGATTTATAAAGTTAGCAATTTGTTCATAATTTCGCCTATAGATACATGATCATTATCATGGTACATGTCAAGTGATACAATTCCAAAGGACTACGATGAATGCAATGGTTCATAACTGTAGTTTATAAAAATCGATTCAGGCATTTGAAGACCATCATTTGCTAGTTGAAGATGATATTTCACGAACTAGGGTCCTTCAAAAATATTAAGCTTAATAAATAAAATAAATGAATAAATAAAAAAATATTGATTCAGTTTTACATATTGTAATAATTGATTTCAGTATGGTGCCATTTAATAAATGAATCTGTAAATTTAATTTGGACTAAGTTTCTGACACAAGATAAACAGTCAAGTGTAGGTTGGCGGTAAGAAATTGTCGGTAAGAAAGGGATGAGTGTTATCAATCAAGCACATAGTATAATTAATCTTGTTTGTTATAAGTCTGAAGGAAGAACAAAACGGATATTTGTCTTCATCAAATTTAATTAAAAACTCGCCGAGATCATATAAGTATAATGAATTACAGATTATCATTGTTTTATTACATACAGTAGAATGTATGTCAAAGAATTCAAATACTTTTGTAATATGTAAATACTGTATATTTTTTAAAAGTTGTGTTCATGATTACTTATTTGAGCCGCCTAGTAGGTTTCTTTGCAGACTGTTTTTTTTTTTTTGTTTTGGTCAAATTAGACTATGAAATTACAAAGTCCTCTGGAATGTCAACGCATGAATGGTATCACGTGTATCACACAATAACCGTCTGTGGTGCTGTTCACATACATATGTATTGTATATACGATGCGACATTTACCGGTTACTTTCATGTGGGCCGTTTCAAATGAGAAAAGACAATGAACATTCATAACAGAGTGACAGATTCCAAATTCAAATGTAATATTTTCTTTATTTTTAATTGTAACAGTATTTATGGCCAGATATTGTATAGGCGAGTTTACTATTCCAATAACATAAAAAAAACATTATCACTGTGATATTATTAAAAACTCCAAATATTTTTACATGTTGGCAATAAATTGCTATTGTGAAAAATATGATCTACGCACATAATGGAAAATATAATTGTATAATTCGTTTTTATTTCATAGTTCAATTACAAATAAAAAAGGTTTAAAGAAATTTTAGGTTAACAACTTTTTGTTCGAAGCCAAAAGAAGAGAAAAAAAACTTTTTGTTGCAGGTACTTACGTACTTGTATTTATATCTGATAAACATGTTATTTTATTAGAAAATAATATTATGATGTGTAGAAATATTTAGAAATTACTACGGAAGTAGTTATTTTGTTTTCAACTTTAATGACATTGTTTCAGAAAAATGCTTTACATATTCCGTAAGTCATTAATTATACCGTTTTTTAAATTGTAACTTATTCTTTTATTTATTTGTAGAATGCTGTAGTAATATTTTATTTAATTCAATTGAATATATGGTGAAATGAAACACATAATTTTTTTAAAAACATTTTAATAAATCCATAATATAGAATCTGTGATTTTTCAGCGAATAACTTCTTGATTCTTTATCATTGATTATTTGAATTAATTTAATAACTTAAAAGCTAATATAGTTTCGAAACAAAATGAAAAAAAAGATAATAGTGATAGTTATGTGATACTAGCTATCAATATGTTATTGAATATTCTGTGATCTAACATGTTTTTTGATGCCTATTACACCTGTTGAGACTAACCTATATTTTACAATAATAATAGTTCATTTTATTCTATTTAATATTTTTTTTACTTTTGTACATATTTTTTATATAGGTCATTGTCTTTTATTATGTATATTTTAACAATAATCCAAATTGCACGCTTCAGTGATTAATCCTAACATCATCTGAGTAACTTCGTCTCCTTGCTCGTAAATTCTGTCAGGTGGCCAATGGAAACTCCTGCCTCGTAATTCGTATGTGTAGACCAATGGTGTGCCCAGAGCATGTCGCACCCAGTCCATGCTACCTCCCGAAGCTTTATCTGTATTCAAAATATCGAGGTTTTTTACTAGTTATACTATTGACGACCTCGGTGGGCTAACGGTTTAGGGCACCTTCTTACTTCCGATGGTCATGGGTTCGATTCCTAGCATTGTACAAACATTAATTTTGTATTCATGAGTAGATGAGTAGATTTTTTTTATAAATACATACATAATATTGACTATCAGGCTGATTGTCTGATTGTCTGGGTGTTTTCTATATATATTATGCATGTATTTACAAAAAAATCTAAGTATTTATATTAGTTATTTAGTTCACAAGTTCTGTTTACCTTGGGACTAGATGGCACTGTGTACCTAAATTGTTCAGGGATATTATTATTACACTAGTGGCGCTAGTCGCTTGTAATACTATACTACCAAGCCTATATTATTTGCTAAGAATAAAGATTTCAACAGGTCAAAGTACATTTAAAATGGGTAAAGTACTTTTTGAATTAATCTATTTCAAATATATTAAACGAAACTAAACCCCCTGGAAACTATAGTGATGAATTCATGGTAAAATTACCACATGAGCTAATTGCCCTGACCTCATACTTATCTTGTCATCCTCCATTGGTGCGCTGTCAATATATACCGTTAGCGCAGGCGGGTGCGCCATTCCATTAGCATCCATAAGACTTCCAACCACTTACCATCAGGTTGTCAGTTTGTTACATAAAAAAACTTACAAAGTATTTCTGCAGCGGTGGCTGGTCCATCATACTTCGCTCCGTTTACTTTATAACCGTACTCTAAAGAAGTTTTGCCAATTTTTATCTGCAAATGTTTTATTCTCATTTGAAATATAAGTAATTGATATCGTACATTTATTAGATACAGAACATTGGTTCAATCAATGTAAATATATTATTGAATTTTTCATTAAATGCTAACTGAAATGTTTTTAAACATTCAAACATACATTTATTTTCATTACATTTACTTTAAATTAAAATAAATATTGAGTATTTTTCTTTTTATCTATAAATATATCTATACATGATTAAATAAAAAATAAACGAATCAAATAGTTCTTGAATATTTTATCTAGCCCAGAATTACTAAAGAAATTCACTGAAGCAAGCAATTCAAGAATACAGCGTGCCAGACAATTTGATTGATACAAACAATCAAACCAATCAAAACCAACATAACTACGTGAATTTGTTCCTGTAACTTTGAATCAGAGCAATTTCTATATAATCTATAATTTAGGCCTTATCTAGTCAGACTTCTGTTTCTAGCCGTAACATACATAATCAGCTGCAATATAAAATAATCAACTAACATATATATAATATATGTACATATACAGAACAGTGAATAAAGTGAAAATGGGGAAGTTATTTCATTTACCCTATTTAGTAGAGAAATGTATTTCTGTGCATCACATTAATAGAGTTAATTGTTCGGTCATATCACCAACAACTCAATTGTCTCTGACTGCCAATATGAGGGAACAATTGTGAGGTTGTATTCTTACTATTTAACAATATATTACCAAATCGTCATAGTTGTCAATATGGTCCACTGAATCTGAATACGGAACCAACAGCATTTGAGCATCAGCGTGGAATGCTACGTAGGCAAGAATATTGTCCAAATGTTGTATATATTCGGATAGAGTCCTAGTTTCCTTCTCTGAGAATGGTTCTGATCCGCCATAAGTTTGATAGTTGCAAGGATTGCTAGTAGCGCCATGTTCTTAAAAAATAAAAAGTATTATTATTAATACTTTCATAAAACAACAATATAATCATTACTAGTAATACAACTAGAATATATGCATTTTTATTTAATTTTTGTGACTATTGCTGCCTTTATATGACGCGCTCTTTCCTGTGAAGTACGGAACACGCAAGATGTACGCAGATAGGCGCGCGCGCAACGAATTATTCCTTTTATTTATTATCATACGTTAATTCTTTTCCGAGTAATTTCAGCTCGAGAACATCGGCTTGTTTGCTACTACAGTTACATATAAAAATACTTTAACGCTTGACTAAATCGCAAGGGATTGCACGGGATCGCTTCTCGTTCTCTTTATCTACTCGTACCTATTTTATACTCTTTCCAGCTGTAAAGGCAGCTAATGTCGGGGGATTGATTAGGTAACACTGCAGTTGTTTAACAATTTCTTAAACCGATTAAAGATAAAAAAAATTGCGATTATTATGTCACCATATTATTGTGTACTATGTTATAATCTATGTTTATTTTACGAATAAACGTAGTCTTACTTTATTAGGTTCAGTCGGACTATAATTCTATGTGATTACTGTTTGATTGTTTCTACACCTACTCTGAAATGACAAACTTGATAGTCTACTGAACCTAATAATGTGGGATTAGGTTAATAAAATTGGATCGAGTATAAACCATGTATATGCGTTTACCAGCTATTGGTTTGAGATGTAGAAATTATAAACTATCGAAAATTAATACAATAAATTCTGTTCTAAATTTTACAGTTACAGTTATTTTACAACACATTACAGATTAAAATCTCAATAGGAAACACTCTTAAGATACAAAAAAATCATCTAAGACTAGAAGTTATATGGTGGGCACGTGTAACTGTAAAATGATTAATAAGAAGGAAATAAATATAAGAGACATAAATAAAATTATTATTCAATACTTACGTAACCAATTGTAGTCCCAGTTACGATTCGGGTCGGCACCGTAACAAAAGAATGTAGATTTTGAACGAGTTTTCCTCCACATACGATCCTTAAAAATACAGTAAAAGATCAAGCACTGCAAACGTTTACGTATATTTAACACTTCCATCATGACAGAATTCTAGTGTTTTTAACATTTTTTGTATATTTTGTATATATCATACATGTCATCTCAGACTAAAAATATTAATTTATAACATTAACAATATGGATACTGTAATATGCTTTATTTGTTGTTTTTAGTAATAAATTTAATTATATTTCTTCAATTTCTGTTATCATTTAGTAAGTTTTTACCGATCACTATATACTATACTACTTGTTAATTGGAAGAAATCCCTCCTTTGGGATAAGTCCGCCATAGTACCATTTATTTTTTAAATCATACGTATCTGTATATATTTTCTATTTTTTTAAGCATTTAAATAGTCGACAGTAGCGACAGTACGAGTCGCTAAAAAAACTTAACATATTTTAAAAATCCCTTCATTTATTTAAAAAGAAATTAAATTCTCTGTGTATTTTTTTTGTATGGAATGAGAATTTGCCATGTAAAATAAATTTATAGGATGGATTACTCAACAGAAAGAGTTAAACATTCATTATGATTGTTACATACCCATGTGAAACTGTAATGGTAACCATCGGGGTTGACGGTGGGGAAAATTTGCCATTCAAATTGATCTCTGATAGATGTTATTTTAGGATCGGTGCTCGTCAGAAGTTGATTGATAAAATACGTGGTCGTGGCCGGCGTGATCCATTCCCTTGCATGTATACCTAAAACAATATATTTAACTGTCAAATTTCTGTATAAAAAACTAACGCCATGACCAGTTATTTAAAGAATTGTTAAATAAATTTAACCTATTCAGTAAGTGCTTATTAATAAAAATTTAAATTTATTGAAAGACAGTTTGTTAATGTCTTGCAGTATCTAATGTAATATAATATTAAATGGCCTATAGATTTGTCTAAACGATATATAGGTATAGGTAACTTACCTGATTCGATGAATATTATCTTTTTAGGTTCATCCGCTTCAGTCGGTGTGTTAATTCTCAACCCTACTATTTTTCTGCCCTCGTAACTTTCCCCACCGACCACTACCTCGGTCCAATTCGAATATTCTTTACTGATATTTCCTAGATATGCATAAATCTGTAAGTTAATAAACGTAACAATATTGATAAATCAAATCATATTAACACATTGACGGACAGCAGAAACAAGTGAAGTTTGAAAGTAAATAATGTATGTTTTTGTAATTTTTAGAATATTCGACGTATAGTTTTACTTTTTCTGCTTAAATAAACTTAATTTTGACACAATTTAAGAGAAAACAGAATTGCACTACTCCTTTCGTAACCAGGTGCGTTCTAATGCTGCAAGTGAAAAATTCAACCTAAAAAAATGTTTCCAAAACTTGACACTTTTTTTACTTGGAGAAAATCCCTCATGGAGACCCGCCCGCCACGGGGCAGGCAAGCGAGTACTGTGAGACACCTGCTCACTAAATACTCCAAGATATCCCTGAACGCCATGTGCCGGAGTCGCGGGATCGAAAACAGTCCACTGCGACTCCAAAACTTGACACTAGGCTTTTACTTGTAAGTGGGTAAATGCACATTTGTGCCGCTATACCCGTAGTATCCGAAAACGACCGTTTCATTTTAGACGACTATTGCCGTCAGGCCACATAGTGAATGGTTCGCTTTGACGGCTATAGACGCAAGTGTCCGTCAAAGTGTTAAATAATATTTGTTCATGTAGGACCTTACGGATAGAGTAAATTGCGCGATTTTACAGGGATATTTTGCGATCCAAAAATGTGTTAGTCATTGGAATCATGATACATTTTCAGAATAACGAAAAATATACCTTAATATTACTGTAATAATAGAGCGAGCTAGCAGAAAAGAACGTAAACATTTCCAAAATTTCAATTTCAAATAGTTGTTCTATCTCTGAATAGAGATAGAACAACTACTGAAAAATAACTATATCTATCGTAATTTTATTGAGTGGAGACTTTTATGTTAAGACAGAAATCTTTAGAATTAATTTGCCGTTGTAGAGTTATATAATGGATACTTTTAAAGAAACAAATTCTCATCAATATTATGCACTTATTATTTACTTATATTCTAACTCAATAAATGAACACAATATTATATTTTTACTATTATACATCATTTACATAATAATCGTTTTTAACAAGTATACATAATGAACATCAACATAATGAAAAAAATGTTATTCTCGTCTAACAAAATATTATAATAATGAATTAGTTACGAAATATGATAACGTTGTTAGTCATGTTTGTTAAAATAACAGTGACCTGTTTACATAGAAATTTATCAACGAATATTTTGATGAGTAAATATTGTATTGTAATAATATGTACATAACAAAGGTTTATTCAGTCTGTTAATTTTAAATTTAGTTAGTAATAATATTAATTTATGAACCATCGATGAAAAAAAGGGATATATCTTAAGTTAAACATGTCTTTATGTCTGTCTGTGGTATCGTAGTTTCTATACAAAAAGAGCAATTATAGATGTTTCTTGTTTGTAATTTTATCAACATCTGTCTAGTAGTTTTTGAGTTATTCTAAATCTTTACATAGTATGTAGAATCGCCCCTGCTGTCTTACGCAACGGATTTTAATGCATTCTTCAGCAATAGATACTGTGAAACAAGAGAAAGATTTATGTATACAATCTATGTATACGTGTGCGAAGCTGGGGGCAAGTAGATGGTAATGATATTAAAGAAGAATTTTCCGTAACGTGAAGTCAGTTTTACAAGGTGTAATGTAAAAAACAATGGTTACGGTAACCGTTTACCATCAAATGAGCCATATGCTTGTTTGCCACCTAAGTAGTATACAAAAACAATTGGTTTACTAAATCATTCTCTATATAACCATTTTTACAAATGAGGTGGTACGTAGTGATACGTAGAATAATAGTAGAATGGATTTCAATAGCACATAAAATTAAATATATTCGTATAAAGTTATTCATATTGATCAGAACAGAACATGTACAGACATGTCTACAATTATTGACAGTACACAATTTTAATCAACAATTTCTATATACTATAATATAATCAATCAGATATCAGAAATAACATCAAATAAAACTTACCTCATCCACGTCGTAATAAGCCGTCCAGGAGAACACGGAATTTCTCCTATAACCCGATTTTTCTAATCGAATAATCCTAGAAAACGGTAATGTAAGATAAACACAACCAGAAACGTAGCTACGTATAAGGAACCTTGTAATAATAGGTCATAATGTATATAGTGTAAAGCTCGAATTAGACCTAATGAATCTTTTCTATTTCTATAAATTCTTCAACGAACTACTTTCAATGAAACCATTCGACCATTCCGACCATTTTGTTTTAGTAATTTTTACCACATTCGGACTATAAAAAGTAATCTATCTAGGTACCTCAGTCTCATCTGTATGTGCTGCCAAGTAGCTTGCTTTGTAAAATGGTGATGTACTTCGAGTCTAGGGTGTATTTTAGATGGTGAAATTACTGGATAAGAGACGTGACATCTTAGTCCTCTATAATAGCTCCAAATGAGTGATAACACGGTTGTAACATTAACGTGATGGCCGTATTGCTTTTCATAGATATAGGCGACAGTTACTACTTACTCACGTGGGTGTCAGTTTTTTTTTCCAATAAAAAAATAGGTATAAAAAAATCATTTTCAAGAATTTTGATAATAATATATTGCAATCGCCAGGTTTTGCTCCCGATTCGTATTTAATTAGTTTTCGTATTATTAGGTTATATTTTTTTTATTTTTAATCAGAATTAATATTAAAAGTACTAAGAGCATGTTTGTCGACAGTAGTCGCGAAATTTTTTTTAATTTATCTTATCGAAATTCCACCTTTATAAAATCATTCTCAAATATAAGCAACATTCCGTGCATTACAGTATTGTGCGAATGACAGGTCATTAAAATGTAATTTACGAACCACAAAACAATTGATTGTAAGAAAATGTAAGTTACAAATTACAAGATCGACTTTGATTTCAAAAATCTCACTTAATACAATTGTTTTTGTAATATACCAAAACGTCAACTGTCACCTGCATTAGGCTACAACTTTACAACGTATAATAATCTATCACGATACAAGATTATATTCTATACATTTTCATCTTGTGACCATTCCATACAAATACTATTACCTACTAGCCCTTAAAATTAATCCACATAGATAAAGATCAGATCAGACCTGATTCATTTTTTTTTTAAATTCAAATGGCAAACAAGTTAACGGCTCACCTGATGGTAACCAGTAACCGTAGCCTATATCCTTACTAATATTATAAATACGAAAGTAACTCTGTCTGTCTGTCTGTCTGTCTTGCATTCACACCAAAACTACTTCACCGATTTACACATACAGATAGTCTAGACCTTGAGAAAGGACATAAGCTACTTTTTAATACGAAGAAAGGATTGTAAGGGGTTGAAAGGGGAGATGAAACGTTCTATGGAATTATTTTTAAAGCTACAAACTTGAAACTTATTTTTTAAGCTTTTGACTATCAATATGACATTCAAAATTTGTACGAATTTTATTCTTAAGGGGATAAAAAAAAATAGGGGATAAAATGTAAATTCCTCATTCGTCCTCCGTCGTCCTTCCATGCGAGCGAAGTCGCGACCACAGAATACTCCTACCGCTTACAAGGCCAGATGAAATAGGTGAGACTATGTAATATTATGTTATCTGTGGTGAGACTAAGTTACGCACAATACTTTAAAATTTAATTCAGTAAATTTGAAATTAAATATAAAACTTTTTAAAAACTTATTAATAAAATTCAAATACATAATATAAATTTAATATTATTTTGTCCAGTACATTGTCAGTTGGTGAAATAACATAGTACATTGTATGTGTGGACGCAGTCACGCAAATCTATATCTTTATATTATATGTACCTATATAAATGCAAACAGCAATCAACAATACAGAACGTACACTTACTCAGAATAATCTTCAACGACCACTTTAGTTTTTAAATCATAGAACGAGGTAATTTCCTCAAATAATGAGTTTACGTCAGGTGCAATTAATATTTCCAACTTATCATTCCTTGTTTCAAAGTAAGGTAGTTCCTGAAAACGTTATATTCCTATTAAACAGCTTGTCACTACTCAATTTGAGGTAAAAATAACATTCAAAAACGAGACTTTGACGTTATAAATTAAATTCTACATGATTACAATAATAAAGATTAAATTGTAATAACACAGGACGCCGCGAATTAGTTCCAAACAACGCAGAGCTTGTGCTATGCGTTTTAGACAACTGTTAGATATACTTAAGTACATTTTTTTTTATAAAATAACACGCAGTCTAAATAATCATACACATACATATAAATTTTTGTAACCTGCGAGGAATCGAACCCACTACTTTCGGAAATAAGGCGACGTGCTAAACCACTAGCCAGCGGAGCCGTTTAATTATAACTCAAGTAATGAAAATATACTTGATCAAGGTTTTGCGTTTAACTAGTAGGTATAATTAAAAAAGTTTAGTTGTGTTGTAGCTACCTGTAATTTTCTCTATAACTTTGTTTTTAGAAACGCTTAAGAAAGTCAGTTTAAATATTTCTTACCTAACAATCTTGCTTAAACGTTTGGAAGGAATAAATTAAATTTTAACACACGCTGTGACATAGTCAATATTGTTTAATGTATAACTGTACTTACAACAACAAAAAATCTATACTTACAACAAAATCTTTTAGATTTTCTAGCACTTTATTAAAATTTTCATGATCACCTTCTACTTCGTACAACTTGTAATTCTTGTAGGATTTATACTCGTAAGCACTTTCCGCTAAAGAAACTTGTATTATTGGCAAACATATAAATAAATAGAACAACATCGTTACTGATTGTGCTGTACACTCATGAAACTAGAGTGATTGTACCCGCAGGTTTGATATATATTCACCTGGCATTCCATAGATAACAATAAAATGTTTTATTTATGTTCTGTGATAAGAATTGTATTTTGTAAATTATGACACTTAACGTTAGACCTTTGATAGTTTATTGGCTTTGAACAGTTATCATAAAAACTCATGGACATCACTATTTCACGAATGCCAAGAGGACATTTCTACTCTACACGTATAATGTCTACACGTAAGCGTCTATGGATCAACTTTCTTGAATTAAAAATTATTTCATATTATAAAAATCTTTTTCTTTTAAAATAATAGTTTTTTTATTAGATTAACTAATACATTTTATTACTGTAGTTACTCTGGCCTTTACATGAATAGTTTTATAATACGTAACGTATTTACCTCTCTCGAAGTTTTGAATATGGCGCACTGGACATGATCACAAGGTGAATGGAGTATAGCGATATCAATGTCTTTAGGGTAGAGCGGATTGTTCCACTACGATATATAAAAATAAGCACCAATACATATTTTAACTGTAATGATAAACAAACTGGAGCTGAAGTACATTCTATGCTCATGCCTCCTTACCTTGTAACTTCATAATAATGACGTATCCTTGAAACCAAAAAACTTACAACGAAAGGTATTTGCTCGATAGGAAAGACAAGGATATACTCAGATAAATTATATTTTGTACAACATCTACCTTGATTAATTATATATTTTTTCTTAATAGGTGATAATGTTGTAGGTAGTACACCCGTAGGCGCTATCGGTCATCGCTAGCGGGACACCAGTGGAGAATGATAGAATGAGCATAAAATCAGGCCAGTTAGCTCATCGTGGCGAATTGATAATTAATAAACCACATAGTTTCCAGCAGGGATGTTAAGGAGATCCGTAACCGAAACTATCGGATATCCGATATAAAAAAATATCCGTAACCGTAACCGAATTCGAAATAAAAGTTTCGGACAGTATCGGATAGGGACGAAGCCTAATTGAGACACGTTATGTAACCATTTTATTAGCTGTTTGTGTTTTAGTTTTGAAATTCCTTAAAAAATATTATACGTAACCGAAATTATCCGAAACTAACGGATAATCCTAAATAATTTCATATCCGCATCCGTATCCGTATCAAGTATAAAAATCATTCCTATATCCGAAACCTATCTCTAACCGAAATTTAATATCCATATCCAGGGAGGACCACGGAGGACAACCAGACAAGTATATTACTTGCAATGAATCCACTAATCTCCATTTACTAATACCCTACATCCTCGAATCTAAATATAATTGTAGCCATACACTATACGATACATTCATATCATCATTTATTTCTATGATAATTTTAATGTAAGTCAGGTAAGGTAAAGTTGAAACTGATTAAATGAAATAACAAAAAAATGGTCCAGTTGATAGTATTAGAAAATTACTATAATTATGACTTGCGTGGACAAAAGTGTTCTACACGGCTAAATGATTTTTACTTTCATCTGAATTTAATCGAAGAAGCAAACCAGGCCACAACACACTCGATATAAATATTAATAACTGAAACCTATTAGCAAATTTAATTCGCCTAAATTTGCTAAATCTGAGTGCACGACTGTACTAATAAACATGTGGGTGAACATTTAAACAACGTTAAAGTAAATATGTTGATCCACTTGATTTATGTACGTATGTATTTGTTGTAGATATCTCTAAAGTGTTAATGTTCACTCCAAAGCGATTATTATGAAGTAGTCCATTGTATTTCAATGCAGGTATAAGTGATACATACATATATTATTTATTTATTTATATAACTTCAATGCACAAAATACCAAGGTAAAAGTACATATGGCGGACTTAACGCCTTACGCCATCTTCTACCAGTCGACCACAGGCTGTGCAGAGAAAAACTGTAGACGGTGCAAATATAATCAATGAGAAAAATAATACCTATATCATAAATAATATATATTTACTAAAAGTTAGTACATGCAAACATACATATACATAGGTACACAAATACATACAATATATATAAAGCCATAGATAAATATCAATAAAATATATACATAAATCAAATATACCATATACATACCATATAACATACTTAAGAATGAAATAGTAACAGCAGATAGAACGTAACAAAAAAAAAACTTCAGGCCAGGCAACTATAACGTATAAAAAGAAAAAATATATATACAATATATATTATTAACATTAACATTGTTGATACTGACCATGTCAGAGTTGCAATATTTAGCGTGATAAATTCATGGAGAATAATGTACTGAGAATATACCACGATAGGCTTACTGATCTGACCTCATGCTCATCTTATGATCCTCCACTGGTGCCCCGCCAGTATAAACCGTTAACTCAGGCGCTTTCACCATTTCATTATCATCCATAAGAATCTGCTTTGCCACCCCTGCTCTATATGTCACTGTTTTAAAGTCATCTTAATAATTATAAATGTGTCTATGTATCTACATTTCTATATATTTGTTGCTTTTCCTCAACTGAATGAATCTAAATGTTTGGCGTGAGTAAAGATTATATAAAGAGAACAAATATAGACATAGCCATAGCCTGGAAACCATAGTGGTTAAATCCTGGTGAAATCGCTATGAAGAGCCAAATACCCTAACTTCATTCTTATACTATATTCTTCCATTGATACCTTACCAGTGAGTACTGTTTACAACGGACACTTCATTCCTTCCCATTATAATCCACAAAAAAAAAGGCATATGCTATATAAAATAAGCAGACAAAGTCGCGAATAATAACTCGTATAATATAAATAAAAACAAAGTAAAGTCAAGGGGGTTGGGCCCAAAAGGCATTAATCTAAAGACCCATATAGTACTGCTGCCACATAAGGTATACAATGCAATAAAACCAGTGATAATATTTATGATACTGAATAACATTTCTGAAAAAACGAGAATGGAAACCAAGTCGCTATTATCTCAGGAAAAAACCTACCTTTTTTTCAATCTATTAAATTAAAATTATTCCAAATTTCAATTTGGAATCACTACATCATGTACTGTACTTTTTAGAAGTAAATTGTCCGGAAATAACCTATATGAATAAATAATTGTTACTTTGACTCTGAATAACGTTATTTATTTTTTTGCAATATATCCTGAATGGCCTCATTTTTCAAAGTACTAAAACCTACATAAGTTTTAGTACCTTACATGATGTCGTGAAAAAAAATAACCTACATTTACTACGTAAATTGGGTGACAAATTAAAAACTTTATTTATTGTAGTATCTTCTTATATTATATAAAAAACGGGCTCCATCGGGAAAACATTAGTATGGGACCAACGCGGAAGTAAGAATGTCTACGGCATAACCCAAATTGCGGCATTGTGACCAGGGTTGCCAACCAACCAAAGCTAAATGTTTTAAACTTAACTTCATACGATGAACTAAACAATGTGATAAAATCTAGGACCTTAGCGGAATTTGGCTCTTTAACCTCGTACATCGTATTATATTTTGTCCGATTTTCATAGTACTTATTTGTTAACTTTCGCAGTCAGTATACATTATAGTCGCGTGGTGTTAAGTACGTTAAATAAACTATTACCTTCTATTTTGCATGCATTAAAGTTAAATAAATAAATTATTAATATAGTTAAACGGGTTGTAACACCATCAATAAATTTAAAGTCTATTATCATCTGCTTCTTCCTTATCCCATTTATTTGGGGTCGGCGTAATATGTTTTTCTCTTCCATTCGTCTCTGTTCGCAGTAATCTCTTTTTCTTTTTTCTTACCATATCATCTTTCATACAGTCCATCCATCTCATTTTCAGTCTTCCTCTGCCCTTATAACCATCCACATTCATATGTCAAATTTAAAATCTATTTACCATAAAATTATTCATTTAAAAACCCGTTTTAATAATGCCATTTTTGTTATTCAAATTTCGTAAGCCTTGTACGAAAATGAAAATGTCCTCGTATATCGACATATAAGATATCTCGCATTTATACGAGGATGGCATCCCTGATTCTAACGCTGAACAGTTAACTGTCCCTCAGAGGCCTTCGCGTAAACTTTTTTTGGTTTGGGATTAAACAAGACTCTTTATTGCACTGGCCAGCCTTGACAATACTCCTAAATTGCTGTCCCAGGATCTTTCAATCTTCGAATTTTCCCGCAAACATTTATATGCATGCCCATCAACTAACTTTTTTCGTACTTTTTCCAGCTTTTAGTGGAATTTTTATTCGCACATTACCAGTACTTCTCAGGATTATGTTTTTTTCTAAACTAATGTAATATTAAAAACATAAATTTTTTAACGAAATAACAATTTAATTTAAATCAAATTATTTTTTATATTATAGATAGCTATGGAATATAGACTTAGAATTCGGATCACTGTTTTTATCGCAGATTTATTCAAAAATATAATACAAATTTTTGGTGTTAATCGGATTCGAACTTACGATCTTTCGAGTCAAAGTTGGGGTAGTTACTACACTACTATTTAGGGCACGACGCTTCATTTGTATTTTAACAACTCAACTTGTCTGTTCTTTTAACAACTCAGGAGCTGAACAAATATTAATGAAATTTGACATGAAAATAGATTGCATTAATGGACGTATATAGGCAATCTTTTATTTCAAAAAGCAAATGAATTCGCCGGTTACAACTAGTACTATATATTTAAGCGTTTCTCCTATAAAATAAATAGTTATTTATATCCGTATCATAAAATAAATTGCCTATACTATTTTATTCGGTTCAAGGAACGAGTGTCCGGCAATGCTAAAGGTATCACCATTTTACCTTAAAATTTATAGCTGCTAACTCAGGTTTCCTGAAAAATCGATGTCACTGTCCCCAATAAAAAATGTAGTAATCGAAATTGGTAGAGGTTAATGGAGCATACGTGATAAATTTCATCTTGCGTTCTGTTGAAAAGCGATTAAATTGATTGATGTAATATCTTCACGATTTTTATTCGTAATAAGGTAGTCAG